TTATGTCAAGATAACCTGTACAGAAGATATCAGGCCCACACACTGTGACTGATTGAAGAGGTAGGAGGTGGGGGTGAGGGGTGAGGGAGTGGGGGGCAGAGAGGGTGTATTGACAAATCAACCATTTATAAAGTGCAAATAAATGGAATTTTCCATCAGTGCTGCAGTGGCGATTTAAATCTGCCAACAGGAGAATCTAATTTCTAACGAAATGGCAGAATACCGTGACTGTATAAAACTAGGAGTTGGCTGCAGTGAAAAAGGGATTTACTGTTAGTGGCTTGAGAAGTAAAACAAAAATCCTAAAAGAGGACGCTGTGGCTTCATCAAATCGTCCAACAGACGTCAGTGAAAGCTTTCCAAAATAGCAGTGTGGACCAGGCCCAAGGAAAATGAAACGACAAAGTCCCTTAAACATGAGGATGTTTTTCAGCCCGTGTGGCTAAAGCCAAAACAGAACTGGAAAAAGTTGTCTGCTAAGAAAACAGTTTTGCGAAAAAATATTGCTACTTAAAAAAACAGTAGCTTTGTAACACCGGCAGGTAAACATGCTGCAAACATTTAAGAGTCAGTTAATTTAAACTCAGTAACCTCAATATTTTATGGTGTAGAAAAGGCCAAGAACAAAGTTAGAAGGTCCTTTAAAAAACAACCCATCATAAATATGATGAAATTCACTGCAGTTAATAAATCAATCAAGAAAACAGAGACTAATTTAGTCACAAGGACGATGTAAGTGATGAAAGAGTGGAGCAGAGTGATGAAGATATCAGTGACCCACTGAGGGAAGCAGTCATGGAGTTTTGTGATTAAAATCCTCAAGAAGAAGAAAAAGAACTGGTGGTAGTTGCAGTAGTAGATGGAGTAGTAGTACTAGATGTACTAAGATTACTAGTTAGATCATTTAAACTATTTAAAATATGTAATAACTCTGTGTGGTTTTGTTACATCAGCATAAATGTTTAGGTTTATTTTAAAGCTGTCAGTGATGTCTACATATTTCTCCTGACCTCAACACAGCATCAGTCTTCTTGACGGACAAATAAATGTTTGCAGTCATCTCTCGATGTTCAAAGAGCTCAATTAGCCTCAGGGAATATTATGTTAAAACAGACATTATCTTCATCTTCATCATCTTCAGGCTAAGTGCTAATATTAAAAGAATGCTTTTAGGATTCATGCTATTATTGGAGTTGAACTACTATCAGTATAAATATACCAAAATAGAAGGATGGTAAGAGGTCTCTTTTCAATGTTTTAATTGTCATTAACAACAGAGGGAAACCCAATGGCCAAATGGATAAGGCATCAGCTTTCGCAGCTTGGGATTGGGGGGTTTGAGTCCCATCTGGGTTGTGGCTTCTTAATGTGGGAGCAGCACATGGTCTGGTATTTAATGATTGTCAGTGACAAAGACAGTAACACTAAAGCTTCTTACCTACATGTGCATTCCTCTCTGTTGCTTAGTTTTAACTTCAGAATATGCGCTAACATGCTAGTAGCTTATTTTCACACATTGTATGGTTTTCTAAGGTGAACTTAGACTTGCATGGCTTAATCTTTGAGACAAGCATATGCTACTGGCAGGATCAACCAGGTAGCCTCCTCTTAGCAACACTGACGGTCCTGTAATTTCAGTCAGCTGCCACCAAGTCATGCATCTGAAGGATTAAAAGGACTTAAAACCTCAGGTACAGTAACAGGTGAACAGCAGTCAAAGTGAGTGTTTGAACAACATGCAGGCAAATATATAAAAATATAAAAAGTATGATTTGGGGTAAAGGCTGTCATTCAGCAAACACATGAGTCGTGAGCCGTGAGTCTGTGCAAATGCAGATCAGTCACACAGAATCCCCAGTGTGAAGGCTTTCAATGGTGTTCATGCTTCACAAAAGTTGGGGTTAAAATTTGCATAAAAATATACTTTGTTTGATCCAGTACAGTGAGGTGTGAAAATGACTTTATAGACGCTTTAGATGTAGCGATTTTACCCCGTGACCAGTTGTGATCACATATTTTTAAAGCTCTCCATCACTGCAGCTCTGTTACAGCCACAACACTGACACAGTCACAAAGCTTTTGTCTCTTATCCTTTTTTATATTTCTGACAAAAGCAAGGAATAGTTACTTTCAGGTGAAATACACTAATGCAACCTATACTACAGTCTACATGTTATTCAGACACAAATACTCAGACCAATTGAGATGTGTAACTCCAATGGCCCATGGTCAGAATGATAACTGAACTGTGTGAATTTACTCAATGATGTACTGCAAAGAAAAGAGTAAAGTGTTGACCTACTTTAGTGTACTCTTATATATATATATATATATACTTAACGCAGTTATGACTTGTTTTCTGTTTCTGTAAGACTAGAAGAAGTGGAGCCAGCTCAGTGGTTCAGATGAACTGGCTTCTTTCCAGAAGTCCCTTCCATATGTCTGAATTCTAGTTCATCAAATCAAGACTTCACTCCACTGACTTCATACACTCTCCTCTCCTCTTCTCTCCTGTTACATTTTGTTGTTAAGAGACTGGCAATTTAAGACTAATAGTACACAAGCTTTTGCAAACATCTAAATCTAACTTAAACATAGCAATCATATCATTAGCAGACTAATTGTAACATTAATAAGTAAAAGCAACAATATTCAACGACTAACAATATTTTTAATCAGGTTGTGTTTTTTCTACTGCGGTTTAATTATTGTATCATTGTTTCTGTTTGTTTTATCTCACATCTAATAGTTTGTGTCGAAGCACATTTAGTTGCATATCAGCCTTCTAGTTGTGGATGTAATAACTTGGAGATAAAATTAAACAAAATAAAAAGCTACGGTCAATGTATTGTGGAGTTATAAACTGCATAAAAGCAGTTACACACTCACACAGTGAGGGTTATGGCAATCTGCACTTATCAGGCTCATCTCCATCCTCCTCTTCTCACTGGCGTTTAATGCGCACCAATTGGCAGCACAGCGTTACGGCACACAGCCTCCAATGCTCAACTACAAATCAAACCTTTTGCCTGGATTGAGATGATATGCGTGTGGGGGGGGATCTTGGTCTTTGCAAGACCATGAAACTGACTCATGTTTATGTAAGCTTGCTGATTGGTCGTGTTCAGTGGTGGATCAGTCTCTCTCTCCCTCACACACACACACACCCCTTCAGCCACACACATGAACAGAAATACTCCCCGGGCAGTTTGGAACGAGCATTAGTCACTGCACATAAAGGCTTGTAAGTCACTCCACAGCAGGAGAGGAGAGAATTATGTAGGAGAGGAGGTCTGCAGAGGTCTGGTCATGACAGCCATTTTTTATCTACGTGCACCAATGCTGTTTTGGGGCCAGGACAAAAGCAAAGACGGCTCTAACACTGAAGCAACCTGAGTTTCCACCAGTCTGATCAATACAGGAGGAGGCACCTCCTGGTCCAGGCTAATCTTGGATTTGTGTTTTCCATGTCAACGCACAGACTTGACCATGGGCTGAAATGTGAGGTCATCTGACTGTACATGATGTTGTCTCACATGTGCAGGTTACGCAACTAGATATTAACTGTCATCATCTTAAATTACTGGAAATTAAGGGCTAAAACATTCCAAAGGAACACAGGAGAGCCATGAATTTTGTTGAACTTGGCAATAAATAAGAAGCTGCATTGACCTGGATTCAAAACTGATATAAAACTTTAATACAACCAGGAGTGTCTCTGTGTTATCTGTTACATAACAGTGATATTCTACGTTCTAGTATTATTGTTATTATCATGCTCTCCAAAACAAGGTCACTTAAACATTTTACTGCTACAAATAAGAGCCAGAACAACGAAAAGGAATTTAAGGCTCCATCACAATAGAAGAAAAATATTTTTTATGCCATAAATGCTGTTCCTTTAATCAAACCTTAACCTGTCGTAAAATCCTTCAGCCATACACACTATTATGTTTGGAAAAGAGGGGAGGAAAATTACTCATGTTAAAGCAACAAATCTTTGAGGTGATTATGTTTTGTAGTACAATTACAAGTCCAGAATTCTCTGCTTCCAAAATCTCTCATTCTCATGTGTAATTTTGACCAAAACAACTGAGTTTTACACCAAAAACAAATACAATGATTATTGATCATTATTGTTGTTTGGGGAGGCAGAAAACAACAGATGATGTGGGAATGTGGGAACAGAAACCCAACACTGAGACATATGTGTGATTAGGAACACAATCTATTCGTCTAGAATGAAGTAACATAATGAAGCCTGGGATCCTGACAGATTAATGCAGCCAATAGGAAGGAGGGTGGGCAGTGGAATCAGGTTGCTTTCCTTCAATAGAGACACATTATGCAACAGCTACATGGAAACTACGAGCTGGTGTAAACTTACAGTGGCTGCAATCCCCCTGGGTGTTTTATTAACCTCATCATCAGACCAGGCTGTCAACAACATTTACATTGGAAACTAGTGTGAAAAGCATTCTTGGTCAAGTATGTGAACATTCACATGTGGCTGTTAATTAGTTCCATTGGTAATTCAACGTAACACACAACATAAAAAAAACACATTTTCCCCACAAACATGCAGATTAGGGATTAGGTTGTTCACGCTAAATTAATTGCATGTGTGTGTGTGTGTTTGTCTGTGTGTGTGTGTGTGTGTGTCTACATGTGGCCTTTTGATTGACTGGTGAATTCACACATTTCACCTGATAACTGCTGGGATTAGCCTCAGCCCCAACCACCCACAACCCTGTGTCACTAAAAAGGATTAGGGGGTAGAAAATGGCTGAATATTTTAAGATTTGTTAAATCCTATTTAGTGAAAAATAGGAGATAATACATGACAAAGCATGACAATCCCAAAAAAGAATGAGCTGATGTTTAGGGATGCACCAATACCAAGGCTGGGACTGATTCATTCAAATACTTGCGCACACACTCATGAACATACTCCAGTCCAGTGACCTAATACTCCGTAACATGTTTTCACTACAACCAGCTGCGCACCTGTCAGCAAGAGATGTTGATTCTCTCATTGTCCTCATGGGTAACTTATTTAAGCAGGTCAACAATGTCAGCAGTTTGGAGGTGCTTCTGCAACATCAGAATAAAGACAGGAGCAAGAATAACAGTAAGACTTGTTTTAAGTACTATTCTGTTGATGAGATGGAAATAAAACTGGCTTCAAGGATTTTCCTGCTTGGTTTCTTCACTGTGTACCTCAAAAAATTACATATTTATTAAACCCAAACTATAGAAGTATCTTTCTTGATGTTTGGTTTTGGTTAGTAGTAGTAAAAACTGGTAACATAAATCAGAAATGTTTAAAGAAATTAAAAGCTTCTCTAGATAACTTCATCTTATGAAGTAACAAAAATGTGGAAAACATAGTGGCTAGGTTTATGAGCATCGTAACAAGGTTTTTATTATACTGATCACAAGCAGTCCCACATTTTCAAAGCTCCTTTATTTAATTTGGTGTCAACAATATCCTCCTGCAGATGTACCTAAACCCTCATGTTTAATTGGACTCCTGTCCTCGTCCCAGGTCTCGAGGCTGGGAGGAGAATCATTTCATTAACAGAATTATTTCCCACTCTGTTCCCAGTGGTGATGACAAGCCTCCATTCAGCCAGTTACAATTGAATCGTTTCCAGTTGACACTGTGAGCAGTGAGAGACCAGCAGTAAATCTGAGAACGTCACAGCTCGGCTTTTCCATGTGTTAACGCATTCATATTGAAATTGTTTCACGAATAAGACAGAATCTTTCTCTTCGAGTTTTGTTGTCACACTGACACAAGAGCTTCTTTTTGCGAATGGCATTCAACATGAATGGCATTCATGTTTAGCTAATCACAGCTGATCATTCGTTATGCAAATAGTTAAAAACCAGGCTCTGGGTCAACAACTGTTGTAAATTCTCATGTGCTGACAAAACTCTGGGCTGTGTATTGTTTATGCTGGCAACAACTGAGGAGCCTTTATCAGGTCTGATTAATGTTTTTGGCAACAAACTAAGACTCAATGCAGGAACATTCCATCTTTGTCAAATCTGATTTTTTTTTTTTTTTGTTGCTTTAGTAACTTTCAAAGACATTTTTAAAAACAACATAATAATCACGATATTTTTTCTAAAATGACCAGTTCTTATGTTGTTGTTTCAGGCTGTAATCTTTGTTTTTGTTTGGTTAATGATTTTTCCATGATTTTTGCTTTAATGAAAACAACAACTAGTGGGACAGGGGCACAGTGGGAAATGGGTTAAATCATAACCCATTTAACCATCATTTTCTCCAGGAAATAATTTTCTGTCATGTTATTGCCTGTGTGCCCTGCCGTCATTTCAGTAAATTACCCTTACTCCTAAATCACGTCTGCTCTTTTATACACCCGTGTGAGTTACACCATCTCTCTTGCTGCTGTTAGAGTGACAGCGTTTACACTTAAATGCTGCTACATTTAATTTTTGACTGGGGCCAAACATATTTTCTTGCTAGGAGCCGATGGCAGTCATGGTCATCTGCCAACTGTACCTTTGCTAATAAAACAATAGTTTATATAATCAGCTGCTGGCATGGATTGCACGGAAAATTGGGCTAATGAATTGGCTGGGCAGGACACATTTCAGCTGGTTACTATAATTTTCTTTGTTCTAGTTCTATATATATACACCAAAAGCAAAAACAAAGTCTAGATTTATGTGATTTATGGAGCAACTGAGTTGAACTGTTTGCCTGTTTTTCTATTCGATTCTATTCACAGGAACTAAGGACAGTACCAGAAACTACCCATGTTTCCAATGCAGGAACCAGGATATTAATGAAAATTAGGTTTTAATTCAGTCTATGTACTGAACACCTTTGCACATGTTATAACATCATCAAACATTTTTATAGATTTTGAAATTTACTATTTTTTCAAATATATAAAGGCACATGCTATTTAAGATCTAAACGGTGATCTAAACTCACCTTATGAATCATTAGTAAGCATTAGTAGAAACACAAAATAATTTTTGTGAAGCCACGACACACACTGCTGATCTAAGTGCATCACATTAAATAATTCTAAAATATTGAGACCAAACCCTGCCCTGAATGGCAGGATGAATGGATGGATATGGTTATCAGTTCAGAGGTACAGGTTTTATGTCAGTGGTGAATCTGTGCATACAGCTGCACTCTTCTGTTAAGAACAGTGTAAAGCAGATGTAAAAGATGGGAGCCCGTATTGGTGTCGAATAGGAGTCATTTTTGGTAAATGAGCCATTTACCAGCAGGGTCAGCAGCTACATTAACCAGCAGTTCCTCAGTACAATTTGGCTTCTATTATGCAAACCACGATGTAGAAGAAGAAGACTCTAATGCAACGTCGGAATATGACAAAACACAACATCAAACGGAACTAGTACTCTTTCTTAACAGTTGTTACGTATAAACATTTCAGCACTGACATGTCCTTCAGTTAAATCCACTTCTCATAACCTCAACAGTGTTTTCTCTTCATGAGAGACTACCATGCCTTCTCATTTAATCCATCATACACTACGTGAACGTTGTAATTCATTTATGTGACAATGTAAACCTCTTCATGTCACTGGGTAAATTATGGGGGTAAATATAGATGAACTCCTGAGAGTACTTACTTTTTCTTTTTTTTTTCTAATGGTGCTTTATACTTGCCAACTCACTTGTAATTAATTAAAGTACAAGAAAATAATGGCTAAAGTGAGAACCTGGGGCCTTGTGGCCCCTGGGTGTTTACCCCAGATGTCTGTCTGTTTACACATCCTTTACCCCAGCCATGTCTCTATCCTGTGAGAATGATTATGTAGAAAATTCCTACTCACTGCTATTCACTGTTTACAGAAGGCTCCGATAATAACTTACTTCATCAAAAGCAGACAATCGATAAGATAAGCATCATGCCAAATTAGGTCAACCTTATTAGCCAACAAAGCATTTGATTGATTGGGATGATATCGTATCCACTACCACTCTAATTAATATGTCAATTTCTTGTTTAAAAAGTAAAATAATTTGAAGATAGATCACCAAACCATCACAAATATTTTCTAATAACTGCTGTGACATGTGCTATCGGCAGCGGCACAACTTCAACCATGTTGTTTAGGCAAAACAAACCCTGATCTAGCACTATGTTGCTTTCCTTTGTGTTTGTTGACTTGGAACAGGAATGGAATAACTTTTGAATAACAATAAAACAACCCCAAATAACTCGACAGTTCTGTCCGCTTGCCCAGCCATATGGTCTAAATCTTCCCAACAAAGACGAAGTGTACACGTGACAACAGGTTAAAACCATTCAGCTCTGTTCTATGGCTCAGGATCAAACAGGCTGTTTTCACAGTTCACCTCAGAAGCTACAGGCCTAAAAATAAGCCTGACTCACACACTTTTCTTGAAAAATGTTTTGGATTGTGCCTCTTGCCATAAGCCATATTATGTAAGGGCTAACTGTGGCTTATAGAGAGTAGCGTTTGTGTGTGTGTGCAGGTGTTGAAAATATTTCATTGTATGTAAAGTTCCTCTGAGGAGACGGAGAGTGTATAAAAATACTCTGAGCTGATTCTGTGAATACAAACTGGTTTTGCTGTGAAGCAAGCAAGAAGTGACTGACATTGAATATGAATGCAGTGAATGAACCCAAATGACCAAGGATGGTGACAAATGGTGAAAAAACACACAGCTGAAACCAAAGCTGTTACGCAACAGCACATTTGTCACAGTTTTGCCATATTTGTTTACTCACAGCCATAGGTGTTGCCTCAACTGTTTCCTTATGTGTTTATGTATGGTCATCATAATAATCATCATAATAAATTAAATATAAAAATTACAGTGAAACACTATATGTGAACTGAAGAGGTCAAATATCCAGGAGCAGTAACTGAGAGTAGAAATGGAATGGCAGCTCTAAAGGATGAAGAAGTGTATTTGGTTGGATTCACAGCACAGATGTCATGGAGGGAGAAGATTACCTGACCACATGATAAATAACACATTCATTTCCCATTTCATGCGCTACTACACATATAATCATATATTATTCTATGGTCATAGGGACTGGAACAAGGCTCTAGAGTTCAGGGTGAGATATCATAGTTAGTGCTGCATTTCATTTAACATCACACTGCTGTAAGACACAAAGAGCAGAATACATACCTTGGAAGACGTCCACATTTGACAGATCCTCTGAGCTCGGAGATATTCATGGTCCTCTTGACAAAAAGAAAAAATAAATGTTTTGTGCACTAAGTCCAGCAGACAGGAGAGACAGTTACACACAAACTCCTTTCTGAGGAGTTTTCAACACGACAGAGTCATTTTTGCTATAGCTTTCCATCTGCGTCTGTGTAAAGGGATATTGTCATTTTGAGGTGATCAAATAAAAGTGGGGGAACGTTTGTCGCCAGGGCTCCAAGCCTGTCCAAACAAAGCCTGGCACAGAGAGTCATTTTTCCAGCCATTTTTGATCTGATGATTCATGTGCTTAACTTCCACCATGGGTCAACAAAACAAGGCCCTTCAGGCCTCTTGTGGATCAAGAAAATCTGTACAGATAAATAAAAATATTTCTAGCCCTGGTTTGTTTAACGCACTGGTAAATGCTAGCTATTATCACTGAGCAGTTCTTTAATTTTATGCATCCTAACTTTTTTTCACAACTCCAATATTCAGTGGCAGCATGTGAGAAGGGGGTTTAGAATTTACTTACTTTTTGATGAATTTTGCTCACGCGTTCTCCTATCAGAAGTTGGATGACTGGATCATTACCATGTACATGGCCTACAGTTTTGTCTCTAAAACAGAATGGCGCCCTCCCCAGTGAAAATTCTACATTAGTGCAAACAAATGTGTTAAACTTTATTGCATGACAGCCAAAGGATCATCCCTATCCACTCAGTTATTGACAGATGAAAACCCATAAAGTGCTAATGCATAGGTTTGTCTACTCTAGAATTTGAATTTTCTGTCAGATACGGAAGCCCATACATGTTGGGTTTTTAACAATTCATTATTAACGAATTAAATATGTTCATAATTATCTCTAATAGTTGGAGGAGTTGTTCGTTGTATGTGTGCGCGCATGTGTATTTGGCGTGCGTAAAACCTGCTTTAGATGGGACCACCTGCTGCTGCTGCTGCTGCTGGGCATAAAGTATGTGTTTGGGAGGGGAGGCTAAAAAAATAACTGCTTGTCATCACACGTCAGTCTGAATGGATTTAGAGATAGTACTGTTTTTTCTGCTTATGTCTGTGCCGTTTCCTTTACTCGGACTCTTGTCCAAACCGCAGAGCGACTCGGTGACCCCTTCCTCCATCTCCATATATTCCGCTTTGTCGCCAAGAGTGGACCCAGAGGGAGAGCCTTTAAATTTCCTTAGAAAGTCTGGAAAGTAAGGACAGCCCGGCGGCATGCTCTCCACCACCGGGGACTGGTCTTCGTTGTCGGTTCGTGACAACAGGTTAAAACCATTCAGCTCTGTTCTATGGCTCAGGATCAAACAGGCTGTTTTCACAGTTCACCTCAGAAGCTACAGGCCTAAAAATAAGCCTGACTCACACACTTTTCTTGAAAAATGTTTTGGATTGTGCCTCTTGCCATAAGCCATATTATGTAAGGGCTAACTGTGGCTTATAGAGAGTAGCGTTTGTGTGTGTGTGCAGGTGTTGAAAATATTTCATTGTATGTAAAGTTCCTCTGAGGAGACGGAGAGTGTATAAAAATACTCTGAGCTGATTCTGTGAATACAAACTGGTTTTGCTGTGAAGCAAGCAAGAAGTGACTGACATTGAATATGAATGCAGTGAATGAACCCAAATGACCAAGGATGGTGACAAATGGTGAAAAAACACACAGCTGAAACCAAAGCTGTTACGCAACAGCACATTTGTCACAGTTTTGCCATATTTGTTTACTCACAGCCATAGGTGTTGCCTCAACTGTTTCCTTATGTGTTTATGTATGGTCATCATAATAATCATCATAATAAATTAAATATAAAAATTACAGTGAAACACTATATGTGAACTGAAGAGGTCAAATATCCAGGAGCAGTAACTGAGAGTAGAAATGGAATGGCAGCTCTAAAGGATGAAGAAGTGTATTTGGTTGGATTCACAGCACAGATGTCATGGAGGGAGAAGATTACCTGACCACATGATAAATAACACATTCATTTCCCATTTCATGCGCTACTACACATATAATCATATATTATTCTATGGTCATAGGGACTGGAACAAGGCTCTAGAGTTCAGGGTGAGATATCATAGTTAGTGCTGCATTTCATTTAACATCACACTGCTGTAAGACACAAAGAGCAGAATACATACCTTGGAAGACGTCCACATTTGACAGATCCTCTGAGCTCGGAGATATTCATGGTCCTCTTGACAAAAAGAAAAAATAAATGTTTTGTGCACTAAGTCCAGCAGACAGGAGAGACAGTTACACACAAACTCCTTTCTGAGGAGTTTTCAACACGACAGAGTCATTTTTGCTATAGCTTTCCATCTGCGTCTGTGTAAAGGGATATTGTCATTTTGAGGTGATCAAATAAAAGTGGGGGAACGTTTGTCGCCAGGGCTCCAAGCCTGTCCAAACAAAGCCTGGCACAGAGAGTCATTTTTCCAGCCATTTTTGATCTGATGATTCATGTGCTTAACTTCCACCATGGGTCAACAAAACAAGGCCCTTCAGGCCTCTTGTGGATCAAGAAAATCTGTACAGATAAATAAAAATATTTCTAGCCCTGGTTTGTTTAACGCACTGGTAAATGCTAGCTATTATCACTGAGCAGTTCTTTAATTTTATGCATCCTAACTTTTTTTCACAACTCCAATATTCAGTGGCAGCATGTGAGAAGGGGGTTTAGAATTTACTTACTTTTTGATGAATTTTGCTCACGCGTTCTCCTATCAGAAGTTGGATGACTGGATCATTACCATGTACATGGCCTACAGTTTTGTCTCTAAAACAGAATGGCGCCCTCCCCAGTGAAAATTCTACATTAGTGCAAACAAATGTGTTAAACTTTATTGCATGACAGCCAAAGGATCATCCCTATCCACTCAGTTATTGACAGATGAAAACCCATAAAGTGCTAATGCATAGGTTTGTCTACTCTAGAATTTGAATTTTCTGTCAGATACGGAAGCCCATACATGTTGGGTTTTTAACAATTCATTATTAACGAATTAAATATGTTCATAATTATCTCTAATAGTTGGAGGAGTTGTTCGTTGTATGTGTGCGCGCATGTGTATTTGGCGTGCGTAAAACCTGCTTTAGATGGGACCACCTGCTGCTGCTGCTGCTGCTGGGCATAAAGTATGTGTTTGGGAGGGGAGGCTAAAAAAATAACTGCTTGTCATCACACGTCAGTCTGAATGGATTTAGAGATAGTACTGTTTTTTCTGCTTATGTCTGTGCCGTTTCCTTTACTCGGACTCTTGTCCAAACCGCAGAGCGACTCGGTGACCCCTTCCTCCATCTCCATATATTCCGCTTTGTCGCCAAGAGTGGACCCAGAGGGAGAGCCTTTAAATTTCCTTAGAAAGTCTGGAAAGTAAGGACAGCCCGGCGGCATGCTCTCCACCACCGGGGACTGGTCTTCGTTGTCGGTTTCCCTGTGGTAGAAGTAGTTGAAGTTGGAAACAATGACCGGCACCGGGAGCGCAATGGTTAAGACGCCCGCTATGGCGCACAGCGAGCCTACGATTTTCCCACCCACGGTGATGGGCTTCATGTCACCGTAGCCCACCGTGGTCATGGTCACCACGGCCCACCAGAAGGCGTCTGGGATGCTTGTGAACTGAGAAGTGGGCTCGTCCGCCTCGGCGAAATAGACGGCGCTGGAGAACAGGATGACACCGATGACCAGGAAGAAAATTAGCAGCGCCAGTTCCCTCATGCTGGCCCGCAGAGTGTGGCCCAGAATCTGCAGCCCCTTGGAGTGTCTGGACAGTTTAAAGATGCGGAACACCCGGACCAGGCGGATTATTCTCAGGATGGCGAAGCTCATCGCCTGCTGCCCGTTGCCCTGGTGTTGCGCCAGGTCAGTGCCGAGAGTAATGAAATAAGGCAAAATGGAGACAATGTCTATTGAGTTCATAATGTTTTTAAAGAATTGCGTTTTGCTGGGACTGGCAAAGAAGCGGACTATGATCTCGAACGAGAACCAGATGATACAGACCGTCTCCACGATGAAGAAAGGGTCGTTGAAGGGGGTGAAGCCGTGGTCCGGCTGAGTGGAGTTATGTTGGGGCTGCAGATACTCCTTTTCATCCCTGAACTCCGGCAGCGTCTCTAGGCAGAAAATGACAATAGAGATGACAATGACAAGGACAGACACCACCGCTATCCCTCTGGCCGGACTTGAACTCTCCGGGTACTCGAACAGCAGCCAGATCTGACGCTTGAACTCGTCATCTGGCAGAGGCTTTTCCTCCTCTTTAACAAAACCCTCATCCTCCCGAAACTTCAGAATCGCCTCCTCCCCGAGTTCATAAAACTTCACCTCCTCGGAGAAGATGTCGAAGGGGACGTTGACGGGTCTTTTCAACCTCCCCCCTGACTGGTAATAGTACAGGATTGCGTCAAAACTAGGTCGGTTCCGATCAAAGAAGTACTCGTTCCTAAGCGGATCAAAGTACCTGATTCTCTTGGCCGGGTCTCCCAGGAGAGTGTCCGGGAACTGAGTGAGAGTTTTCAGCTGAGTCTCAAACTTTAGACCCGACACGTTGATGACCACTCTCTCACAGCAGCCGCACTCACTGTACGCGTTCTCGTAGCCGGACTGAGGACGCCTGTCAGTGATCGACACCGTCTCCTCATCATCATCCATGTTGTACACAAAACTTGACCTCTTGCTTCCCCGTCCACCCCCGCCCTCCTCCTCCTCCTCCTCCTCCTCTTCTTCCTCCGCTCCCTCGGCCTCCTCTTCCTCTATCATGATGTCCTCCTCGGATCCAAGCAGCGCCAGCTCCGAGTGCCGCAGGTCTCCGCCGAGCGCGCTCCGGTTACGTCTCCACCGCCCGACGCCGCGCTGTTGCTGCTGCTTTTTGCGCTCTCTGAGAACTCTGTGCTGCTGCTCACACTCCTGCTGGTGCTGTGGAGGCTGAGAGGAGGAGGAGGAAGAGGTGGAGGAGGAGGAGCGCAAGGCGGTACCGCCGCCGCCACCGCCGCCGCTGATGTTGGTGGAGGAGGCGGCGCGACACTGATGCTGGCGGTTGTTAAGGAGATGAGCGCACGAGGAAGAGTTGGTGGACGAGCAGACGGTCCCCGCTGCTCCTCCTCCACCGGTTCCTCCTCCACAACCTCCTCCTCCTGCTCCTCCTTCAGCACTCAATCCACCGTCAACAGTAGCCGCCGCAGCCGCCGCCGCGGCTCTGGAGTGTGCCACCTGGCGCTCCCGCTCTCGCTCCCTCTCTCGGGCACGGGCTTGGGCATAACCGTAGGGCAGGTGACTGTTGCACCCGCCGTCCGCACCCACCATGGCAAACTCCATCTTAAAGTCAGTGTGAGGTTCTGTGCGTGTGCAGCTACAGGAGCCGCCTGAGAGCGACGTGGATGCAGACCAGAGGGTTGAAGTTGCAGCTGAGAGAGCAGACAAATGATCACCTCAGGATCTGAGAGTGTCACAGTAGGTCCATGATCAGTACAGTCCATGTGTCTGCTGACACGATAGGCTGATTTACATCCCCCGTCTCCCACTTTAGGCCTTCGCTCTTTATTACATCATTACCGTGGGGAAGCAGAAACCTATAGGAGGGCCGTTGGCACCGCCTGTTACGCAGACGCTCACTGTCAAACTTACAGCGCCCTTATTTGTCCAGCATTAAAATAAATCAGCTCGTCAACAAGCGACACCCAAACAGTCTCCTCTCCGTTTCCCCAGCGCCCATCGGGTGGATAATTTCTCAAACGTGTCCTCAGAATCTCTGCAGTCAGTCACGATTGCCATCCTAAATACTGCGATTTATGGAGACAAAACATTTGCTGGTAAATTATGCAGCTCCGGTGAATGTGAACTTTATCCCTGTGATGGTCTCTGGAGCTGCGAGAGAAAAACAGAAGAGACAACAAAAGATAAATACATCTATAAAAATGGTGTAGCCTTTTTTTAGGACTGGTTACAACACAGGGTTTGCTGTGTGAGGCAGTAAAACTCCAATGTATTATTATTATTGTTATTATTATTATTATTATTATTGTATTGTTTTAGCTGTTGTTGTTGTTATTATTATTAATATTACTTAGTAACTGTGGAGATGGCTTTGGAAAAGAGATGCATGGAGACATATGTAGCAAAAACATTACGCACGAAATATTCCACTCCAGGCTGATTTTCATACTTACATGTGAAAAGGGGCCTCAGCTCCTCGACATCCACATCTGCTGGAGAAGGAGGGTGAGGAGCAGGAGGTAGGCTAGGTGAGGATGCAGTTATTCCCTTTTACCCAAATTCGCTTCCTCATTTTTGGGAGTGTAGGACGACAATATCACACATCGTCCACGGTATCCACAGTATCCACGCAGCCGCCACAACGTGCATCCAGGCTCTGACGCACACTGAGGAGGACACTTTTTCGGCTATGTCTCGACGTCTTGCCTCAATTCAACAGGATCTGTTGCCACTCCAGCCCCGCTTGTGCTGCATCGCTCCTGGTCCTCTGGTAGCGCTGGTCATTAAAGAGGAGCAGGTGTGCACAGAGCAGCGATTTGGCATCAGTGACAGCTCCGCACGCCCAGGAGATGAGAAGATGCCAGGGTGTGTAAAAGTTTACCATCAGTCAAGCGAAAGAGGAGACAGCCCCGTGGTTGAGTCTGAGCGTCACACATCTGTCTGTCTGCCGCTGTAGCCCTACCTATACTCCTGTATCCCTCCCATTGTGTGCGTGATGATGGAGAGAGGCTCGGTGAGAAAGTCGTTCCTGCACCGCAGCGAGTGCAGGCAGTGCTCGGTCCTCCCCCAGTGGATGCAGACGGTCACTGCGCACTGCAGTCACACAATCCAGCCTGTGTCCTTCATCAGCAACACTGTTCTGTGGGGGCAACCGGTGTCCTTTGAACCCCACACCCATCTCAATGACCATGTAAAACTAACGCATCAGCCGCTGTTCACTCAGCGTCGGCACTACGGTTGTTTTTGGCTGTGTTTGTCTAATTCTAGACTACCACGTCGTTAAGTTGTTTTTACATCTTCCTTCTCCTTTAAGTTGAAGTTGACCTGTATCCCATACAGCCAAACAGTTGTGGCCTATAGCCAGTAAAAAAAAAAGTATTTTAAGTCTAATTTCTGAAGATTAAAACCCAAATAAAACAAGGTCAAAATCATCACTGAAACATTTACTTTGTTCCTGACATCTGGACTAACTCAAATGTCTGTTGACAAAGTTAACGAAAAGTACTATCCGTTTTAGCCATATTGAATTAGTTCAAGATTATTTTAACATAAATATGAAGGGTTATTTTTAAGGGTATTTAAGGGTTAAAAATAAGCACAAGCCAAATCTACTAAGTTGTACTAATTAGTTGTTGAGGTTAAATGAAAATAAAACAGGGATAAAAATGAAACAGATTTTGATCTTTTATATAAGAATTTATTGTCTTAATTGTATTTTTGCCAGATAAAAGGATTTAATTTTTATTTTGCAGCATTGTCAAAAATCATCACTCGAATGAAAGATTTATACTGTGCTGTGTTTCTGAGGATATAACTGAGTGTGTGCAGCCAAACCAAGTCCTTATATAAATGGTTGGGAATAATGGTATAAAATATTTATAAATCTTTACTTGAGGCTATAAGAACAAATGTGAATGTGTCAGTGATGGGTCAGCAGGTCACTGCTTAAAGCTTCACCAATATTATTCCAGAAAAGGGCAGCATAACTGAGCTCAGGAATAAGTCCTGATGATGAACGTGTAATGAGTGTAGTGTTAAATACTGCACTTTCACATGCTCTACGGTCTACTTGGAATTATCTATTTGAAAAGTAGAGCGCAGTGCTTAAACCAGTGTATAATTAAAGGTTGTCCCTCTGAACCTAAGGTTCACACTTTTTTTCATTTTCTGTCGTATGAAGTGGGAAACGGTTTAATATGTATTATTAAGGTGTTTGGATATAGATATAAGGTATAGAATTCAATCCTAAACTCAAAAAATATCCTCAAGCAATCATGTGTTGTACCATGGAATCACTGTGCATTTTAGTTGTGGATACGTTTCCTTTAAACTAAAGAGAGAGAAATTGTCGATTTTAAACCACAAACACAGTGACAAATCACAACCGTCTTCATGTAGTAATTACTGAAACTATGTAATAGCCAAATCCATGCATTAGCATTGTTGAGTGTCAAGGCGATGAGTCATTAATGCACCTCTTTTCGCTTGTATTAATCTTCAGGTATTTAATATTTGACAAACATGTTTGTTTGTGTATTATCAGTGGAGGATGAATGATCATAAAGTGTTAAAAAGTGATTGGTTGCTGTAGAGTGTGCCAGTCTTTGCCTCCATACAGCAGCTGATCTAAAATGGATTTTTAATAACCACATTATTCTGTCATTTAGCTTTGTTACTGTGAATTTAATTTTTTTTTCACCCTTGTTTGAATTGTTTTTATAGTTATTAAAAACCGTAGTAAACCCTGCAGTATAGAGTATGTACAGTACGTATGTATTGATCAACAGTGCGTAGATTTTTTAAGATTCCTTTTTGTCACAATGTTCCTTTTTCATTGCATCATTTAGACTTCCCGGTTTAAATTTAATTGTGCTGATGATGTTATTTTTTTTCTGCATATATTCCCGCAGGCCCTCTGCTGGCACACACAGTAATCCATATAGCCCCCCCCTAGGTCCTTTCATTTTAATTCATTTATCCATTTGCCTCAAACATCAAATTAGGACACTAAATAGCCCCCTATTCTAAAAAGGAGAATGGAGACAATTTTTCCCTGAGGAGCTCCACTCATTTCGTGCAGGTTTTTCATTTTATGTGTGGCTGAGATGGTTCACATTATTGGTTTGCTTTTACAGTGTCACAAAAAATGATTGGGAGTAAGAGGAAATCCAAAACAAACTAAATATTAAATAAAAAAGTCAGTTCGTATGCTTAGGCTTGGCAATAACAGTGCTGACGCTGCAGATATCACTGTTGAGCTCACAGCCCACTCCTTTACTCTCTGCACATCAGAGAATAAATTAGAAAAGTTTATTAAATTAATTAAATTTTACACCAACTATCACCTTTCTTGTGTTCTTTGTTTTAGTCCACTGAGTGAGCAAACCATAGTCACGAAAACTACTTATTTTACTGCACAACAGCATGCAGCGTATCCACTAAGTGCTGCTAAATCTAGCAAGATGTAACACATAGGTATAAAATTGGAAAATAGAGGTAAAAAAAAAACCAGATGCATCAGGTCTGACAAACTATCAGATTCCATGTAGATGTATCTGGTCCATGTGAAGAGGGTTGCTAAAAAAGTAAGACCTGCCTGCTCTCCAGCTCTTTGTTTGCAACTGCTCTGTGATCAAGAGTGTTCCTTAAAAAACATTTCTAGTGACAGTGGAAATGATTTTAGGCCTGAAAATGAAACACATTATATCTAACATTCTATTAAATACATAACTAATCAATGAAACTAAAAGGAAAGTCAGCTAAATGTATTAAAATCAGATTTGTGTTTGATTACACTGTATAATGTTGGTGTGTGAATATAGCACATGTTGCTTGAACCAGTGGCAGTTTCTGATATGGCTAACATTGACTGCAGCCCAGAGTGACATTTCATTTGCACCAATCGCTTTTCTATTGCCCATGTTCTTGTCAGTGGTGTTGAGATGTCCTCCATTCTCACACATTTTAACAAAAAATACAAGGTCCTGTCAAGCAAAAAGCAAAAAAGTGGGAAAAACTATTTTTTTGTTTGTTTGTTTTGTTCAGTCGAGTTATAATATAGTCAAGTCATTTTCCATGAAAAGTGCCTCACAGTGCCAAACCAATGACCCATGACTCAAATATGTGATGTCAACTTCATGCTTTTATTTGTGGCTCCATATAAAACTTGTTTAGGTGTCTGCGTCCACAGGTGGGGTTCTTTGTTAGTTTGTTTTATAGCAGTGCCAATAGTTACGGAACACGAAGTAATTCAGGCCAGTAATGAAAAACCCTCCAAATATGACTAATGGTGCTTTGTGGTGTGAATACCAAATAAATCAACTGGCTAGGGTACTAGCTTGGGTTCATTTGGGTTCACACTACAGTACATGACTGACAATGATGTATATTAGCTCAGATTTCCTGAAATAAGCAGGACCTTAGAGGACAAGGTGACACTGTGAAAATTCTCCCTGTTTCGTTGGGCAGGTATACGACAGTTCAGCAAAATGTTGAGGAGGTTGAATCCCCGGTGACTGCAAAGGAAGACAGACAAACTTGGATGAACAGTAGCTTCTGCATGAATGGTCATATTCCCCTGTCAGTGCAGTACAGCACAGTGCTGAGGTTTCTTTCTTGGAAATGTGATTCATCAGAAAACAGCCAGTGGACAGTTCATTTCCATCTAGCATCACTGTAGGATATCTGCAATTTAACTTCATTAATTACGGTGACTTTTGACCTGTAAGAAAGAACCCAGCCAGCACGTCTATTGCTGTGGACTACAGTATACTGATATAAAGTGGTCATTGACCTCCACTGGGTTAATTGTGTGGGGCAGTTGCCCATTACTGTCACCTTATGGCAGAGGGAACTGCAGGACACAGCAAGTCTATTGAAGCAGTGGAGGTTCAAATGCACAAAACAGTCAAGGTCTCAACAAAGAAAGGTAGATTAGGGTTGTAAACAGGCAGGGGAGGAATTAACCAGACCCAGGTGGGGATGGTTAGGTGATCATCATGGAGGGAAACACTGACAGAAAGGTAAGCGTTTCTGGCAAATTAAAAAATAAATGTCTGCACTAGCCAGCTGTCTATGTGGGCAGAAACATAATTGCATCTGTGGGTCCACCTAAGCCTTTCACTCCTGTGAGGTAAAGATTTCTCCTGATATCAACCTGCTCCTCCTTGTGTGTAGGAGGAAAGGCCTTGAACTGCTGAGAGACAAAGATGAGTTTTCTCTTCCACACCCTAACACGTAGGAAAAATAGTACGTGACCAAGGTTGAATGGATTAACGGGGATTTCTGAGCAGGGCTATTTAAACATTGCAGACCACAGCCATTGTCTGTATTATGCTGTAGAG